TGTACTTAAACATACATGTAATCATGGAGACATAGTTATTACAAGTGGTTAACATCATAAAAGGCCTGTCAAAATTACTATGATATACCAAGCTCAAAAATTGTGGCAAATTATAATAATTATAGTCAAAGGTAAATTAATATTGACTTTGTAAAATTGGTCTAAAAGGCAAAAGCATCCTCAAAATGCCGTCATTGCCATGTAGAGTTAAGTACATGCATCCTAAGATATTATGCAAGAACTTGACAGCTCAGGCAAGCTCAGAGCTGTTACACAGGAAGTGTTGCATGTTGGTTAGTAACAGGCCTTTGCTTGCACAGCCAATAAAATATAAAAGGAACTGATAGCAAAGGCAAGAACTATAAAACTGAGGAAAGTCCAAATTATAGCATCACTAAGCAATTATGGATATCAGCAAAATTATAAGTAAGAACTTTCTTGATGCCTTTCAATTTCAGTGCTTGTTTGTAGTAAAATATAAGTACATGTGTATTTTACTTTTGATTAACTAAAGCAAAAAAAATTTTTGACCTACATGTAGCTTACTAAACTAATACATGTACGGTAAACTCAGAATATTTGCTAAGTTTCAGTAAACTGTGTACAGTCACAGTTTCAGTGGATAACAACTTTTCCAACACAAAATAAAACTATTCTACCAAACCAAAACTAATGCTAAAACTGTCACTAAATACTATTTCACTTTTTAGATGTCATACGCGTATTATGATGTGTAGCGAGCTACATATGGCTGATAATTAAAGTAAATAAATGAACACGCATTTTTTTTATTTTATGATAGATATTTTTATAGTACATCCAAAAGAAAAGGCTTCGAAAGCCATCGTATGTACATATTGTTTGATATAGTGCTTCTAGTATAGTAATCAAGAAACATAACATTCTAAATGTACAATACTACTGTTATTATTATTATCATTGTAATATAAATTAGGTCAGGCTCGAATAGATCATCATAAATATTACTAATAATATTAATATCACTATCATTATTATTTAATTATTAATACAGTGTACCGCAGATAAAAATGAAACTACAATTACCTCTAGGAACACATACATGTACATATACAGTTACAAACACAAAAAAAATTAATCGGCTTGCGAAGTAAGAATGGGAGACAAAACAAACAGTTAAAAAATGGACCTATTCACCTCAGTAAGGGAGAAAAGGAGTTTGAAAAAGTCACTTATTTCTCAAAAGCACACACATAGGTTAATATACTGGTTACATGTATTACAATCTTATCAACACTTACATGCATGATTTCTACTTCCCTTTTTTGGCACTCTCTTGCTAAAGTGACACAAATGAGCAAAAGCACTCATTTAGAGTTGCTTCATTACCTTTTAAGTCCTCCATTGTACCTCCGGCGTGGATAACATAATATTATGATTATCCATGGTTGACCTTTATCTAATTACGAAGTTCAATGGACCTTATGCACCGAAATGATTCTAATTAACGCGCGCACCCAAAGTGGTGGTAAAATGGTGGATTTTTGGAGGGAAAGACAGGCTAAACAATCTTCTCTTTTATCCATCCATTCTAGCTGTGGGAGCCACCTTGAGCTGTCCTTTTGTTTCAGTATACTCTATTTATCTCTTTTGTAAGCTTTTTGGTTGCTGTTTTGGCTTTTATAGCATTTTATCATAGGAATATTCTCAACCATCGGCCATTCCCGTTTTTCTAAATTTTGCTTTCAGGAGCCAGGGCACTTGCCCCTCCATTGCTAGGAAGATAAGAGTGCATTCAGCTGAGTCCTATGACTAGTGTCTATCATCAGAGTTAGTCTCAGTCCATCAGGACAAGGTACGGTGGAATAACTCACTCAGTTGTTATTTTGCAGCTGGAGTGTGGATGATTATGACCATCTTTTCACTTC